CTGGTCACTTTTAAGAGTCAGCTTGACAGGGTGCTGACTCATCTCATTTAAACTATACTTCTACCTTGAGAGGTTGGACTAGATGATCCTTGTGGTCCCTTCTAACCTGGGATTCTGTGATTCTATGATTCTATGATAATGGAAATGCGTGGCCTTCATTATAAAGCTGATTATGATTTCCTCTGGCTTTGAAACTGAAGAGTCACTGGGATTCTTGTTCACAGCAAACACCACTTGCAAACGTGACTGATATCCACTGAGTTCAATCCCTGAGTCATCTGTGCACATTGCTTTCTAAATGTCCACTCTGTGAGGATCTGTAGGAAGTAATTTAACATCTAAGGGTTAGTGTGGAATTGCTAGGGAGAGAATTAAACATGGCCATAGAAGATTGCCGTTGTAATAGGCTTCATAAAAATACTATTGCTGAGTAACCTAATTAATCTTGAGAGTAAAAATAATGACTTCCTAAAGGTATATACAAAAAAATTAAATGAAGCAACAAAGTAGTCAGCTTCCTGATAAATAAGACTAGTTCCTAATTTAGATGACTGGTTATAAATATCAGTAATGAAATAGCAAGGAATAAGAAAGACAAAAAATGGGAATTGTGTTATTATGCCAGTGAGAAATAATACTCTTACTCATTTGGTGTAACTGCTGTTACTTGAAGATATAGGCAATATTGTGTTCCTGATAGTTACAGGTACATGTCCTGAATATCAGTGGTGGTATCCTATAGTGATACTGGTTGCTTTAAATGAAAAAATGTTTGGGTCAGACTTATCACCAGCCAGAGATTAGTTATGAATGGGATTATATATGATGTGACACACAGCAAATGCCAAGACTAAGGTAATAGCACACTTGGTCACCAAATTAATAGAAGATAAACAAAATGGTGTCAATTGTAAGAAAATCAATAGGCCAGAATCATTAGCTTTGATTATTGAAAAAAATGTTACCTGGGGGGCCTGTGGAAAGAATGACCTAAAAAGATACGGAAGGCCAGATGACAAAAATTGTACTGAGATGCAAAAATGCAGGTTAAATAATTGGAGCAGAAAAGGTAGGAAAAAACCTGTGTGTGTGTATATATATATATATATATATATATATGTAGTATAATGCATCTGTAAGAATCATGGCTATTAGGGCCTTTTGCTATTTTCTTTCATGTTTGTGGGATGTTTGCAGTGTTTACAGTTTCACTGACCATGCCTGTACTATGGCAGTAATTCAGACTTAGGACAGTCCTCAGTAACTAGCTTATTTGCTTATTAAATAACATTTTCAAGCTCTTGGAATTGTGCTGAAAACAATATTTGACATAATCTACCAGGAGGATTTTAAGGCTGGTGTCACAAGCTAGATCTAGTTAGATCTGGTTAGAAATTCAAGCATACAACATGTAGGAGCCAAAATCCTGGGCCAGGCCAAAGGTATTCTACCATTAGAATAATGTGTGATTCTTTTGAGGAAAGTGCAGGAAAATATTTTTAATCTTTTGAGCCTTTTAGGTTTTAAGTTCATTATTAGCCAAACGTAGAAGAAGATACAGTTCAAAGGTCCATGCAAATCAAGAAACCAAAATACCTTCACGTTAATTTTTTTCCAGATCATTATCATGGCAAAGTCACTTGCTATATCAATCTAGAACTGATTTCATGTAAGTTGAAAATAAAAAGAAAATTCAATTTTGAAAGTATTCTCCAAATTCTGTACAGCTGGTAGTGAATCTTCTAGCAGCAGTCAGATTTGTTAACACATTTCTAGGATATTAGTTCTCAGAACGAATCAGCAAGACTCTTACCCTTCTCCCATAGTGATATCCTGGCTTTCCATGGCTACACAATAGCTTCCACAGCCATTATGAGAAAAGTGAGGTACCAGTATTCTTGATAGCAATGTTAAAAGAAAGAAAATATACGTTTCTTTGTATTCACAGATCTATTTGCATTCAGAATGATTACAGTTCAATTGTTCTGTTCCCATCTACTGTGGGCTGCTCAAAAAACTGTTATTAAATAATAAAGAAAACAATGTAGATTAGGACATGCACCAGCACAGCTCAATGGAGTTCTTTTAAATATTTACCCCAGCGTATCACAATCCATACTGTAAATGCAGAAGTGACAGTACTGCAGATCTCTAGGCCACAAGGTTTTAAAATACAAGGTTCCACATAGAGCAAACGATTTTTAAAGAATGAAGTTTACAATAAAACCTGCATTCAGAATTTAGAGGACAACCCCTCAAAAGTAAACCAAGTATTTTCCATAAAAACGCTATAAATTCTTGGACACCGCCACTGATACTCAGGGACTGACATTCAATTCAATTAGATGAAATAATTCCTTGTGCACTCACAGTTTAATGTAAGAACTGTCACACTGTATACACACACACATTCTCTCTTCTAATGAATTCCTCATAAAAATCTTTTTTTCTCAATAGTTCATTAATCACAGCTGTGCTGAAGGGCACAGTTTGGAAGTAAGAGAGGATATTTTCCTTCAAATCAATGACCTGTGCAGACCTAAAATTTGTAAATGTATTTTATGCAGAAGTTCAGGAATTATGTTGAAGCTGTTATAATTAGTATTTCCACTTTCAGGGAAGAACTGGTCAACCTGGTTTAGTGAGAGGCGTCCCTGCCCATGGCAGGGGGGTTTGAGTGGATGATCTTTAAGGTCCTTCCAACATAAACCATTCTATGATTCTATGATACAAGATTTCACTGCATTTGTTCAACTTGCATTGTTCAAGACATTAACTTAATTTCAGATGCTTCACCACAGTCAAGGAAAAAACCAAACTCTCTCTACATTAAATTAGCTGATAGCAAAAGCATCTAATGTGAAGCAAATGGAATTGCATTTTGCTTACTTTCAACTAAATGAGGATTTAGATCTCTGGAAGTTAAGTGGTGTATTATTCAACATAGCACCAATATAAAGCTGGCTTAATAATGATATTTTGATTGCTTCTTTCTAATTCAGGTCTGGCTGAATGACAGTATGACAAGTATTTGACAATGACAATAGTATTTGCTTGAGAACTAAAATCAGTCTTAGATTGTTTACTTTTATTCCTCTGCAAAAGTATTTTAATTAAACAGACATGTCAATTAATTCTGTTGTATAAAATTATTTCCTAAATTGCATCCAAGATAAAAAATACCTTACTGATGTTAGCAGTCAGTTTTCAAAATTTCTACGCATAGTTAAGAAACTGAGTTGAAACAAGAAAATGTGCTGTTAAGCAGCACTGCACAGAGGACACTGCTAGTTTAGACCTCCTGTTAGCACCATCAGTGTAAAAAAGGACACGTTTGTCATCAACCTGGAGAGGCGAGTTGGGCTGCTGGTGAGAGAATAGATCTAGCTCCATGTTTGCAAGAGAAGGGGAGGTGCGGCAGACAAGTTGGGACCATACCAAGTACTTCAAATGGGTCTGAGAGGAAAGGCATAATGAACTGATAGAAAATTGGAGAAAATAAGTCTGAAAATCATGCAGACTTGACTAGAATTTGCAGTAATCTGAGAAGAAGAGAAAGGATCGTGCTTGGATATGCTGCTCAAGAACCTGCAAAATGCAGAGACAGATTTGATGTGTGGATAAATTAAAAGGCTTGAGATAAAGACAAAAGGTGATGGCGGTCTAAAGGCACTGAAATGATCCTGATAGGAGAGATGCTGGGAAAGGCACACATCTGTGCTAGCTTTTTATGACACATGCTGTTTATAACTAGCAGAGGGAACAAAAATTTTGGTACTACTAAAACCTTGACTCTTGTAAAACTTCCAATTAAGCAAGGTTGTGCCTGACCCTTATTTGGCTGGGTTACCTGAGCTGCTGAAGGATTGGCTGGATCCTTGAATGCATGGATTCATGCATTTTTGCTTTGAAATTCTTAATGCTTGCACACAAAGAAGAAACCATCTGCTACTGGTGGAAAACAACAGTGCTTTTGTCCAAACAGTAAATGAAACATAAGTCACTAAGCAAAATGGGAAGCCTTGGAGAAGCTGTACAGTTAAAACTCTCAGAAGTTCTGTTTTGTACGTGTTGCCAAGCATCAAAAGTTTGGGATGATAATGACCAAGGGATTAGAGATCAAAACATTTATTTTTAAAATTTTGCTTGCTTGGTACATCTGGCAGTGTAAGGGTATTGTTCATTCCACTATGTCCCCTGCTAAGTTACTTACACTCTCCATTCTAAAACACATCTGATTAACAAAGAGCAGAGAGCAATTCTATCAGCACATTCACATGCCTTTGCATACCAGAGATTTTCTAACACGAGTACAGAGTAATTATACACAGACTGAAGTGGAAGCCAGCAATCAGATAACCTTTTACAAATTAGAGAATAATTGCAAATTGCAATGGACCTTAGGCCAAAGTTCTATTTGTAACTGTGGCTTGATTTTGCTGGATTAGTTTCAATTTTTTAACACCCTTACATCAGTTTTATCTGACAAAACTTTAGTAAAATTAAATACTGATCTTCAAATCTTCAAATCCAGATGCTGAACAGCAGGACAAGAAGGAAAGTAACACACAAAACCAATTCCACCGTAAGGAGGAATGTTGGAGGAATGTATCAGTTTGGATTAAGTAATAATAGTTAGGACCACCTCAGGTGCAACTTCCAAAGTAGCTGATTTCCCTGTTTCCCAACCCAAATGGAAAACAAAAGTCAGAACAAAAATGAATTAAAATCTAGCAAAACCATGGATTTGACAGGAAATAGAATATTTTGGTTTTAAGTATTTTAAATGTTTCTGAATTGGAATAAATTTAGTAATGCAATGTCCTGTCAAAAAATTAAGCAAATTTGGTTTCACTTTCTTTTTTCTTTTTTAGCTGAAACTATCTAAGGAAACATCCACTGTATTGTGCCTGCTTTTAAAGTGTTCTAATGAAGTCCAAATGTTAATAAGGATTTTCTGGAGACAATTCTGATTGCTGCAAAACCTCTATTTAGCTTTTTCACAAAGCTTCTTTTATAAGGTCAGCCAGTCTCTTGAAGGCCTGAAACGACACAAATACGGTTCATGTTTATACACCAGCATTACTTATATAGACAACACACCAAACCTGTAAAGCTAATAGAACTACCCTAATCATCTACAAACTCAGTATTTTATACTGCAAAATTCTGCTGATATTCTCTGTTTTCTACTCCCACTTCTCTGACAGAAAATAAAAGGCAGAGTTTTCTAAAACAGAAAAATACGTATATTGACGTTCATACATTCGCAGTTCAGAAGAAATAGAGAAGAAACAGAAAGGCAATAGAAGTGCCTATCTGTTACAAATCTTCACAACTGAATGAAAGTACAACTAGAAATAATGACCTGTTTCAAGCACCTGAATCAAATGAGCATTGTCTGCACAAATGTGTTTTATCTTTCTTCCCATTCATTTTACAGATAAAACCAAATAACATCCAAAATGTTCCTAAAACACATAGCAGATTAGTTCCTGAGAAATTAAATTCAACATGTATGTCAAATGTATGAAAAAAATCCAATATTCTATCTTATAAAGATCTAACAACGTGCACACACAAAATCAAGCACGTAATTCAATCTCAGGAATGGAAAGTCTGGAAAATAAAATACACATGATGCCTGCTAATGCTAAAGCAAATAGCAACCTATTCTGACTTCTGTAAAGCCTTTATGGATAATGTTTGGGAGGATTAGGTGTGAGACTCTACATGTATGAGACGCACAGAAAAATTTTAAGTGGTCCTAAAAATTTGGTACCTTTCAGGTCATTTGGATAGGAGTATCTTTCCTAAGGAACAGCTAATACTGCTTCAAAAGTACTGCTTAATCACCTAAGCACTAAAAAAACTACACTGACACTCAAGAACACACATAAGAAGAAGTAAGTAAAAATACAGGAGCATTATTATGTGAGAAACTATCTTGATAAGAAGGTAAAAATGACCACCTCACTTACCAGATTCATCTGGGCTGGAGAACAGAGAGAGAAGGAGGCTCTGACATATGAACTAGGCTCTGAACTATTGATATTGAACGCTCCTCCAGGAACCAGTAACACCTAAGAAAAATTGTTTAGCCAACCAGTTATCAACACTCCTAAAGTTTTAAAATACTATGTTAAATTAAATTTGAGAAAGTTCACTGCTGAAACATTCGTATCAGAACATAGGTTAATATATTTCTTCTGTTTAAAATGAGAAGCCAAAAATATGCAACCCAGAAACACACTTTTCACAACAAAATCAAAGGGCTCTTAGGTTCTGGGTACCCAGGCTGGTGGGTTACCAGGGCTGGCTTATCATCACAATGTTTAGAAGTACCAGTGAGGTGGGATGTAGTTTAATCGCTACACAGTGCTGGCTCTTCGAATTGTAGAAATAAAATGACAATTTCTGTTATTAAGACAGCCATCATTCATATAGACACATATATTAATATTTTATATATATGTTGTATACATGACATTGTACTATATATTATAGTGTTTAAATTCAAGTAAGCTGATTAAATACCAACATCTGAATATAGACATGAAAATATTTTTTAATGAGTCACTATATGACAATGCCTGACTTGCAGACTCAATGATGGTGCACAGCAAGTTCCCCTGTTTTTTTATGTGTGTGGATAGAGATGGTAATTTTATTTTATCCTTCCCTCTTTTCATTTTAACATCATAACCCATTAAACCAAAGTTCATACCTCTTTCTGCAAAGCTTTTTCCATGATCAGCTGCTGTGTATCAGAGACACCCTTAATTTTGATCCATAAGAACATGCCAGCAGCAGGAGGGTACCATTCAGCCAAGTCTGGAGAGAGGAAAAAAAAGAAGCGAATCAAGAAACTTCTACCTTGCCTCTAACTGATACACCATAGATTCACTGATCTTATAGATTTGGTGCTCCAATGAACTCAAAGGGAATGTGGGTCACATAGCCAGGATGCCACTTGCCAAATTTCAAGTACCCCTAATCAGATCTCTCTAGGTTTGTGCTGGTATTCTCAATACTTCTTGTGAAAGTGATTGCTCTGAATCACACCAATCCCAAACATTAACATGTATTTGTTGATTACTTTCAGATCAAGTAAACAATCCAAAACAATTTTTCTGATGTAGTTTCTCCTGCTATCGCATTGGCTATCAATACAGTTTAAAGTGTACCAAGGAGAGTGTTGGAGCTATGAGGACAGGAATGCTTAGAGAGAATTTAAGTCTTAAATTATATATGCAGACTTACTGTATACCTTTTGATTACCTAGAATTCTTTATCTGGTTTTGGACATATTTCTGTATTCCATAATATTATGGCTCTTATTACTAGAAAATGTGCAGACCCTATAGTCTTTTGCATGAGTATATTCTCAAAAATACATTTTAAGGTAAGGTTTTATTACACTGTTTTTATACTTGGGGAATTGAGATAAAGAGGGCCTACCTAGGTCAACAACCCATGGTAGTTCAGACCCATGAGGAAAAAGAAGAAATGCTTTATACTGAAAAACCCGGAATTAGCATGAGTAAGTACATTAACGACTGTGTGATGCCCAAGTACCCACGTCCCACAGAAGTACCATCTAAGGTAGGTGGGCAGTTCTTAAGCAGTTATTGCTGATACCACTTAGACGGGCAAAAAGGAATGAGTCACTAACTGTAGTTACATTATTGTAGATCGAATTCTTTTTATACTCTGTGATTAACCACAAAAGGGGACATTTGAAATTGATTTCTGACCAAAAAAATTACTATCACTATGGCTATATTGACTGTTTGTATCTTCTTTTAAATTAAGGCCACTAAATCTGGCTATTCCAGACAGAGATTTTAAACATAAAAAGTGTAAGAACATAGTGGAATGAAATATATGCTCTTTGTAAAACTGGTTTATACAGTAATGTGGTGAGCTTTTTTCTCATTGTCACCTCCTTGACTCATCAGAAAAACATGAAAACAGCAACACTAGATAATTTGTCCTAAGCTTAATATTTAATGTCATTGATTTGCTTATAGTGCTTATCTGTTACTTCTGTTGAGAGATGAACTTCAGTGATTTTTCTTGAACACAAAGATGAAAAATAGCTAGAAAAAACCTGAGTAAGTAGCTGTGTTGCACTCACTGACCTTTTAACCACTTGTCGGCAGCAATGAGCATTGCATCCCGCTGAGTTCTGTAGAACTCCACCACTCTGAAAGTAAATTATAAATTCAAAGTCACACTCCCATAGTGCTTGAGACTCTATTTGTTTCCAAAGGCAGAAACAAAGCTTTTTTACTTGAACAACCTAAATGCACATTTAATGGAAGTATGAGCATATCCTAGATGGGCAGAATACTGCATACTGTATGTATGAAACTTTGTGTATGTATCAGAGAAGTCTTGAATGCTTCTGCATGTCTCAAAGCACTGATCAACAAGACAGAAGTGCCTGTGTGAGTGCTTCTTAAGCTTCACATATGTCATGGAAACTGATATTCATTCTGTCTATTATATCAGTGGATACAAGCCGTGTTAGCAATATTTACCACACAAAACAGGCATACTGAAGAAAATTAAGGACACATACATATGCAGAAGCAGAGACTTGGTATTTGTGCATCTGGGTTTAATTTGTGTAACAGGTACACATGGGAATGGTATTTCACAAGGTAAAAAAAAAATTGTATGATAAACCTGTCAGGACTATTTGACAGCTTCCCCTTTTCTAAACTTTTGTACCTATCTCCTTCACACTTTCAGTAAAAATTCCAAATAATTCATTCTCTTACTGGGAAAAGGTACCCTAACCCAAGTTTCAACATAGACAAGTCTTGTGCAGTGGCTTTGTTGACACGAGACAGCTGCGATTCTGCAACAGGAGACACAAGATAAGTGCCTGATACAGAGTCCATAAACCAGATGCAAATGTGTTTGCTTCTCTGTATAGAAACCATACTTAGTAATTTGCATAATTTTACATTTAGGTTTGCTTTTTATACTCTCTGAACCAATACCTTTGATTTCTGGATGTGTTTTATTACACATGATAGACTAACACCATCAAAGACTTACATAGTTTTGGGACTCACCCTATACCAATTGCTATATCCTGCATGAAATGGTAAATCTCACATGCAGTTTTTATCACATAACAAATTCTGTTGCAGGTTTTTTGCCTTTCTGTTATCATTTTACTTTCATGTTGGAATGAAATTATAAGTGTTAGTGAGACAAGACTTCTACAGAAATGTAGCTGCTCCAAACAATAGGCTACCTCCTATTCAAAAGGAGAAACTATGCTCCTCCAGTGCAATAAACGAAAAGCAAATGTATGTCAGTCAGTATATAAGAAATACCTTGCTGAGTTAGACCTTACCCCAGCGCTCAGTTCCCAAGAGTGGTGACAGACGCAATGTTTAGCAAGTGCAGGTGAACCTCACTGTTCTCTGTAGATCTTTCCATCAGCATCCACAATCATTAGATTTCAGATATTAGAGGGTGAATCCCTGCTGAGTTAGTGAGGGAAGAACTCCAAGCAATGTTGGCTCTTTCTCAATAGATTATGTGCTCAGTGATCTCAGCCCTTGCTATAGACCCTACCACTTCAGCAGGGATGTAAACTTTATTCACTGACTTGGAACTCCCAGGATTCTCTTGAGCTCCCTTCAGATGGGAGCTGCATGACTGTACCACTGGACTGGCAGATTGTTGGTCTCTAGTGGTAGTCTGCATGCCCTGACCTGCTTGTCTGCAGCTTCACACTGAGCTCCTTCAGGACTCTCGTGTGAATACTGTCAGTCTTGTTGACCTGGCTTATCCATTTGGCCTAATACTGCTGCACTTTCTCTGACCTGTTTACTGCAAAGAATGTTATATGTGGGTAACAAGAAGCAGAATGACAGATGACAGGAGTCAGCATATGACATGACCCTACCTGTCTATATGCTCCAAGAAACCCGTTTCTCCCCATTGCTGAAGCAGCTGTGATATCATAATCTAAAGGAATAAAACACATCATCAATACCATATTTTAAACAGGGATGTTCTGCAATCATCAAAGGATATATAGCCTGATGCATTATTAAGAATTCCACACAGGCGAGAAATTGCATGCAGGGTCCCTTGGAGCCCTTTATAAACAGAGGTGGCAACAGCAACAGGCCATTGTAGCCCATGTTACTGCTGTCTCCAAGGATCATGGCAGTGTTTGGAAGGTGGGCCAGGGGGAGGGAAGAATGGATGGAGAGCTAAATATGGTAATCAGGGTGATAAAAAGGAAGGCAATGACCTTCCTGCCTGTATTGGCCTCTCTGCTTTAATACTGCCACTATGACAAATTAATGAACCTGGAAGATGGAAGCCGTATCTCGATGTGTTCAATGTGTCCTTTCTTTATTACTGACTAGAAAGGGGCTGTAGCTGGCAGCCTGCTTTGTAATGTCTCTGTGGGCTGCCAGTATTGTTTTAATTACAAAGTAGAATAAAAAAGAGGAAAAATCCCTAAGTGCTCCCAATGTATCCTTTACATTGAGGTTTTTCAAGTCAACCTACTAGCAAGAGATACAAAATATTTTATATCCTGATTCTTGAAACCTGATGGTGAAGGGCGTATCAGCTGTGGTTGTAATTTCTATGGGGGTGTCTCTTCCTTTGGCAGAATTGACAATGTATGTGCTTAATATAAACAAAACTGCAGAAGTACAGAGCAACTGCAAAAGTGCAAAACTGTTCATTTTCGGTCTCTTATGACTTGTAATATGTTATCTTTTCTAAAGATACAACTCAGTTGGCAGTTTGGTACTTGCCTGTGTGAAAGTGCTGGTGTGCATTGTTGAAACCTGAATGTGTAGAATAACTCTGTCAATAAGAGGCTTTGGACCTGTCAGAAAACCTATTCTTAACCTAGGGGGGGAAAAAAAAAGAAAAAAGTTACTATAGAAATGTGCTAATACTTTGTGTGAATTATGGTTTGACTTGTAACTGGAAAAACCTGTAACCATTTAACTGATATTGCAAGGATCTTCTATGAATTTAAGTTTATCTATATCTTAATACTGCCCAAAGCTCCAGGTTCATGAAACTTACGAGCTGAGTATCAAAGTCATGAAATAAAAACATTTAAGAGTTTTTAATGCTTATAGTAGTAGCTTCTTAGTTCTGAGACTTCAGAACATATCCACATTTGTAAGCTTTGCTCTGCAACTATAAAGATTATGTGAATCAAAGGGAAGGAAAGATAGGTTTTCACATAATGAAAAATCATGAAAGCTCAGGCTTTATGAAAAACAGATGGGATGTGGCAAACAGCTTTATGTTTTCACTCCCTTTCAGCACTGCAGGGTAAGTGGAATTTAGACTGATAACCAGATTCTTATTCATGCTTTAATTCTTATGACCTATCTTTATAAACTGACTGAAGTTTTTCTTTGAAAAAAAAAAATAGAACCAGTAAGCTCATATGCATCTTTGACAAAGACAGAATTACACCATTTCTTTTTGCAGCGTCATGTCTGAAAGTACACACTTAACATCATGTTGCTTCCTTGCTTTCTCAAGGATGGGATTTATAATCCACTAGCTGCCAGTGCAGAGTTCATATTATTTTCTTTTATCTATTAGAATAATAAACAAAATTAAGTTAAAAATCAAATATGTTGATTTGTGTGAAATGGAAAACAATCAGCTTAGTTATTCAGGCAGGTAGAAACAACCTGAAAGAACTGTAAGGCTAGAAGACGAGTAATCAGTATAACCCTATGAATAATTTGAGAATGATACCATTGTTTCTCTTCTGTATTACAAGTTCAGGGAGTCTACACGAATGGTAAGAGACAGAAGGAGAAATGGAAAAAAGAAGAGAGAAAAGCTTCTCAGAGTTCCAGGAACAGTGCTGTAATCCAACATCTGTCTTTCTGCCTATATGACAGCCACAAGAATGAGCTGCCTGTGGAGAGTGGCTTAACGGTATCAGAACAGAAACAGAATTTGGAGTCAATGGCTGCCAAGAGATGACATGAAAAGTGAGCAGACTGAGAAAAGCTGTGGACCCCAAAGTACATTCCAGAAATGTATAGGTATTAGATGAAAAAACACTATCACATGTCTGATCATTTTGTATGAAGAAATAGTCTTGTGCCTTAACTGAACAGGCAATGCTAAGCAGTCTGAAGCTGGCCTTACCCAGATGAGAGAATTTTAGAGAAAGAGTCAGTCCTGATAACTCGGCCATCCACATCCATTGAGAGGAAAGTTGGAGCCCATGGCTTGGAAGAAAAACAAAAAATAAAATTCAAGGTGCTGGAAAGGATTATGATGGAATTATTTTCTTTACTATAAAGACATATTTAATTTCTTTAAGAAGTACTTTGACAGTAAATATTTTACAGATGCACATTCCAAAATAAAAAAGCAGTACCTTGCTGACAAGCGATTGCTTAGGCTAGCTGTCTGAGATGTAATTAAAATATTCAATGAAAGTCATCACAAAATCAGCCTTGCCATTTTTCTGATGCTTAGCCCACTGTTCAGCATACAAGTGTTCAGTTCAAGTTGTGGTATGATGCCAGAAGTAGGAGAGAAAAATAATGATTTCACTACCAAGATTTTTTTTAAATGGAGTAAAACTCATTTCTAAGATGGGGTCCTGCAGCTTTTAGTTTCATCTTAAAAAATGAAATGAAGGTATGAACACATTTAGATCTCAGTTCACGTTTTCCTTATCAGAAATTCTTACACCTTCTCCCCTTACAGTCTCTAGCAAAGCTACACGATGCTATTCAATGAGCAAGTGAAGCAGTTCATTGCCTTCTCCCATAAAAACTATTTCAAAGTAGAAAATACTGAACTTTAGCTTGTGCCAATGTTTTACTGCTTTGTAAGACCAGCTTTTACTCCTGAAGTTAGGTACTTTTGCAGAGTGTGCAACTGTAAATGCATGTGTGAAGACAGGTTAACACTTGATTGCTACCCATTTTGGGAAAATTTACATGAAGGAAGGCAGCTTCCTATCCAGTACTACTTCCTGTGGTATCTGAAAGAACTCTCTTCACTTCTCCAAAAGGCAGAGGTAAAAATGGGATATAGCACATTTGGAGCAGGCAGTCTGACACTGAATGAAAGAGACTGGACTGAAAGGAACATTAAGAGGCTGCTATTTTCAAGTGCTACTTCAGTGGCATACTTGTTTTCCTCTGGAGGTGAAGTCTTTGGTGTTTTCTGGCTACTGAAGGAAATTCTGTCCTGTATAAAGTTTGAGGAATTTGAACCACCAGCACCAGGACTGGTGCAATAAAATGCAACAAATGGAGGCAACAACTGAAAGTAGCATAGACTGTTAGGCCTACAACAAACTTCGTAGGACATCAAGAAGGAGCATGCAGGAAGATCCATGGCTGAAACCTCAGTTCTGCCCTGGATCAGAAAAGAAAATGTTTCTAAAGATATGGAAGACAAATTACCTTTTCAAACTGAAGAAAGTAGTACGGATCATCTTCTATTATGAGAAAATCATATTTTCTTGCAAGCTAAAGAAATGAATAAAAAGTAAACATTTGTTAAAATGTAAAGACACTTAAAATTCAGTTCTTCCTATACCCTGTGTTATAGTTTAATGGTTACCAGCCTGAAAGGGAAGGACAGGTGATATCTGTAGGACCCTGGGAGGTCAGAGATCAGTACTGTTCCCTCCCTTTTCCGGCCACAGTCTAAAAAATCGAGGAGGCCCGAGCTTTTATGGGCTTTTCCTTGCTTCCTGGGCTGCTTCCTGTCACATCCCCAGACGGCTGGGCCTATCTCCATGTGCTCAGCAGCATCCACCACCATCCACTCCCTGGCACCACCGTGGTCCATGGTGACGAGTCACAGCGACCACAAGGGACTGCTCAGCCACTTCCACTCGGGACTACTGGGGTCGGGTTTTGTATATACTTAAATATCCTTTGTCCCTTATTAATTCCCTTTTCCTTTTCCTGATTGTTTTTTTTCATTAAACTTGTTATAGTCTTATATTCCAACCTTGTGTGAAGCATCTCTTCTCTATTCCCTTTTTTTTATCCTCCCCTGGGAGGGTGAAGGACAATAGAGATAAAATCCTACTCCTTGTTTAATTTGGGTTTGCCCTGAGCCCTAAATGGGGACAGGATTAATATCCCGGGTATACTGGATGCCCCTCCAGGTGAAGGCAAACTGAGGCCTGCATTCTGCAGCTAAAGGAATGGAGAAAAATGTGTTAGCAATATCGATCGTGGCGTACTATTTAGCTGCCTTGGAGTCTAGCTCATACTGTAATTCCAGCATGTCTGGCACAGCAGCACTCATAGGTGGTGTCACTTCATTCAGGCCACGATAGTCCACTGTTAATCTCCATTCTCCATCAGGCTTCCGTACTGGCCGTATAGGACTGTTGAAGGCTGATCACTCAGGCTGATCACTGATCATTCCCTAGCTCTCTAGTTGGTGAATCAGTTTATATATAGGGACCAGGGAGTCCCTGTTGGTCCTGTATTGCTGGTGATGTACTGTCAAAGAAGCAGTTGGTACTTGCTGTTCCTCCACCCTCATCAGGCCCACTACGGAAGGGTCATCTGAAAGGCCAGGCAAAGCAGACAGCTGGTCAATGGCCTCAGTCTCCACAGCTGCTATCCCAAAAGCCCACTTGTACACTTTTGGGTCTTCGAAGTACCCTTTCCATAGAAAGTCTATGCCCAGAATGCACGGAGCATCTGTCCAGTTGCAATATGATGTATGTCCTAGTCATTCCCAGTTAGGCTCACTTCAGCATCCAACAGAGTCAACCTTTGAGACCCTCCCGTCACTCCCGAGATGGTAATGGACTCTGTTCCTCTATGATATGATGGCACTAGAGTGCATTGTGCACCAGCGTCCACCAGGGCTCTGTACTTCTCAGGTTTTGATGTGCCAGGCCATCGAATCCACACTGTCCAGTAAACCTAATTATCCCTGTCCTCCACCTGGCTGGAGGCAGGGTCTCTCTAATAATCTTAGGTGACAGAAGCAGCCATTCTCCTGGGTCCGTCCTCTCTGGTAGTGTTACTTTGCAGTCCCTGTACTCTGGCGTGCAAAATGGCAGTGGGTTTGTTGTGCCATCTATCCATATTCTTGCCATAGTTGAGCAGGGTGAACCACAGAGAACTTTGTGTTCGATTCTCCATACCTTAGGCTGGTCTCCTGGGAAAGCGTCTGTACCTAGTGGCTGAAACATGGGTCCATTCAGAAGAATGGGTATCACTTTCCCCTCTCTGTTGGAGCAACTTATCAGTCAGCTTTTCAAAACTGGTTTTGATGTCAGCTTTGATGTCAGTTTTGATGTTGGTTTCTATGTTCTCTAGTGTCTTTTCGATGGCTGCAATGTGAAAGTGCATGCTGTGAACAACAGTATCTTCAAATTGTCTGATTTGAGTAGCAAACTCACCCACAGTCCGTGGTGTTTCATCCTCTGCCCCAAAAAGCCTTCCTGCCAAAGTGTGAGAATACTTAGGAGGGGCACTCTGTATAAACTTCTTTAACAGAGAACCTTTGCAAGGTACTTGATCAGGATCTGCAAGCGTTTGCTCAACATAGATTATCTGTCAGAGTGCCAGCTCTCTCAAAAATCTGACGCCCTGCTCTATAGTGTTCCATTTAGTAAAACTACATTCTGTATCCTCTTTATGAGGATATCTTCTCTTTAGAGCTGTTATGAGATGTTCCCAAAGACTGTGGGTGCAGGTGTCATTCCAAATAAACCTATCAGTGTCCTGCTCCTTTGCTAATGCTCCCAATCGCTTAGCCTGTCCCCATCTAAATCTATTGTATCCACTTCAGTGTCCCAACACCACAACAGCCATGTAATCAGTAATTCACCAACCCCCCTGGCACAGACTTTTCACAAAACTCGTAGCTCTTTCAGGAACAGTTTTGATCTCTGGCTGTGAATCCCCTTGAGATGGTCCCTCTCCTGCCTCTGTGTCTAAATTCATCACTGGGCGGTCCATTTTCTTGGAGCATTTCCGGTGGGTGGTGACTGGGGCCAACTGGATCACATTGCCCGTGTCCCTGCTCGTGGCTGCTGCTCCAGCCGGCACCAAAATGGGGGTGTGGGCAGCGGCTGACAGAGTCACCAGGGCCAGGGTGGGCACCAGGGCCAGGGCCAGGCGCTGGGACTGGAGCCTGAGCCAGACCGCAGTTCTGGCTGATGGCAGGGCCAGGGTGGCCTGAGAGGCTTGTAAAGCAGCATTACACCTGAGCACACCACAATCTTACAATTAGTGCTATCTGAATTACAATGAAGAACCACAATACATAGTCATCATAGCTGTTCCTGATTTCTCCAAACCCCTGTGGGGCAACCTTTCCAGGGAAAGGAGCGGGATCGTTTTTCATAACCATATTCATGAGGTGGTGGCCAAGGTACCCAGGTAAAGCCTTAACCCAATTCATCCCAGCATAAACCACAGTCCAAAACGTACGGCAACATAACACAGAGGTAGGGCAAGTCAGCACAGCATCAATCAGGACAGCATTAAAAGAGCTCACAAAAACATTCTGTTAACAGGCCTCACAGAAGCACCGTTATGAGAGCCATCTTAGTCTTAACTTCCAACTTGTCCTGTCGCAAAAAAAAAAATTAAAAAATTCCAAACTTGTGCCCCCTGTTGGATGCAAATTAATTCTGTCTCCATTTAGGGCTCAAGACAAACCAAAATTAAACAATCTCTATTGTCCCACACTCTCCCTGGGGAGGACAAAAAAAGGGAATAGAGAAGAGATGCTTCACACGAGGTTGGAAGTTAAGACTATAACAAGTTTTAATTAAAACAATCGGGGACAGGAAAAGGGAATTAATAAGGGACAAAGGATCTTTAACTATATACAAAACCCGATCCCAGTAGTCCTGAGTGGAAATGTCCGAGCAGTGCCTCGTGGCCGCTGCGACTGCTGTGACTTGTCACCAGGGACCGCAGTGGTGCCGGGAGCGGATGGTGGTGGATGCTGCTGAGCACGTGGAGGTAGGCCCAGCTGTCTGGGGATGTGACAGGAAGCAGCCTAGGAAGCAAGTAAAAGCCCGCGAAAACCTTGGGCCTCCTCGATTTTTTAGACTGTGGCTGGAAAGGGGAGGGAACAGTACTGATCTCTGACCCCCCAGGGTCCTACAGACACCACCTGTCCTTCTCTTTCAGGCTGTTAACACTTAAACCATAACACCCTGGGTTATTACCAGGACCATATTATGATCCTATGGATTGATCACTCACTATACAAGGGCCTATCAAAAGAAGCTTTCAAATGTCCAATTTAGACACCAAGCAATTAAAAGAGTAAGCATGGTACCTGCAGTACAAGGACACATATATAACAGAAGGTCTGTTCCATGTAGTGTTCAAACTGTGCAGAAAACTTGCAGTATGTTCATTTTGAAGCCCATGGCAAAGATCCCAGCCAGTAAGGGGCTAGTACTACAGAAACAATTTATCTAATGCATAGTCCACCTCTGAAGAGTTGCCATGAAAGATGTTGGGCTAGAAGAAAGTTCAGGGAAGAATATATACCAGATATATATATAT